GTAAAGGCTGTGTGATGTTGAAGCCATTATTGCATTGCTTTGAATGAATATGAAACAATTATCAGAAAGAGAAAGAGGGAGAGAAATTACAGCCACTGATGAGTCTGGGCTTCAAATGTAACAGCAAACATTTCTAGAGCAACTAGCCTGGGTCAGTTCCTGGGGACAAAAGATGCTCCTGAGACCTTTGACCGTACTGAAGAGGGCAAGCATGATGCAGGCCCAAAGAGCCAGGAAACAGGGCAAGGAGAGACGCAAGCTAAAACAGAGCGTCAGACAAAATTATATGCAAGGACGGGGTGGAAAGAGACTAACTGCAAAATAAGATGTGGGGAAGACTTCCTGGAAGAGTCATTTGATGCATGTTAAAATACAGGTATGATTTTTTAAAATGTGAGGCTGATGTTGTGAGATGGAGGAAAGACAGAGGTATTCCTTGCAGAAGGGGGTTGAATGGAGAACAATGAGAGGAAATATTTGGAGAATGACATTTGAAGACCTGTCCTCTTCACATGACCCCCATCTTGTCTACAGTATGATTACCTGGAGTTTAGTGGACAATTTGCTAATCTTTAGATTTTAGCAGGGGGGAGGTGAGGAGGGAAGAAGAACAGGATGTGTCTAACCCTGGTGGCCTGTTCAGGTGATAGCTACTGGTGATCTGGTCCAGGAACTGGGAGGGGATAAGCTAGAGGATGCAAATCAGAAACTGCCTCTTCCCAAAGCCAAAGGCCCCTTGGGCATAGATCTTTCCAGAGAAATAGAGGACTTTCCAGTTAAAAGCATTAAGAAGGAGATGTCTTATTTGGACTGACCAGGGTAGAGTGTTTCTAGGGTCTCTGCCTGTACAATTTCAAATATATTTGCTGCAGCCTGAGCTGGGCTGTCTAAACTCAACAGGGGCCCAACAGCTGATTTGGAATCTCTGAGCTTGTTTCTTCTTGGTTGAAATGGAGTCACAGCTCCCCCTTCTGGGAGCTAAAGTGCCATCCAGCCCTAGAAAAGCCTGCGTGGAAAGGCTCTACCGCAGATGGGCCTGAAACCCCTGTTTTCTCCCTCCATGCTCACCTGCACCCCGAAACCGAGCACCGAGGAGTCCGGGAACTCACTTTTGCGTGGGCCTGATTCTGCCTTAAGAGCACATCTTTCATAGGACTATACACTTCCTCTTCCCTGGGACTATAAGTCCCAGTCTCCGTGTGGGTGATGCTTTTACATAGGGGAATGCAATTTGGTGCGGAGGTTGCAATTCTCTTTTGGGAAATATAGCAAGTAGAAAGGATTTCGGAATCTGCACGTGTCCAGGAGACCGCATGTATGCGTGTAGGCTTGTGTACGCTCCTGTGACGGCAATACGCATGGCTGTATAGAGGTAAGTCTCATTAATGTAAAGAGATGAATTTGCCTGAAGCATTTGCATCACTAGATGGGTGGACACTCGGCTCTCTGGAAAGCAAAGCGTTTCTTACTGAAGAGCTCAGGTCCAGTCCAGATTCTCTGCTGGCTTCTGTCTACTGGGCATGGTCTGTATGGGTCCCCGGCTGTCTGTGATTCTCTGTAGGCACTGGAGAAAGAATGTATGTTCTCTGCATGTGTGTGTGTGTGTGTGTGTGTGTGTCTGTCTGTCTGTCTGTCTAGTGGGGACTGTGATTAAAGCATTGGACCTTTTCTCTCCAGGTCATGTTTCCAGATGGAGCAGCTCTGAAATGCACCTCTGAAAGGAGAAGTTTGATGAGGAAAGACAAGTGATTATCTTGGATGGGAGCATGGTGGCAGGGTAGGGGTGGAGAGCGATATGAGAGGAAAAGACATGGATCTGGGTGTCAGGCACTACAGGTTCTAGACCTGGGCATCCCACCAACTCACTAGAGAAGGCTGGGGAGTTCTCACGTCCTCCCTGGCTACGGACTCCTGCTGTCTGCTCTTTAATATTCCTTCCAGCTTTGATTTTCTACGTATTAAAAAAAAAATAAGATGAGAGCAATCCCTAACATGGGGCGTCCTCCTTTGCCTTCACACACCCCAGGCAAAGTGAACCAGGGACCTCTGCTGTGACCTAAGTTTCCCAAAGCAGATTCCCTGTGGCCATGTGAAGGCTTCCGCCTGAGACGTCAGCCTCTGACCAGAGAATGGTGTGTCTGCAAGTGCCTGCAGGTAGCACCGCCCCCTAGCCGCCAGGGCAGGTTCCTGCAAACACCTTTGCTTTTATCTCTCCCAGGAAGAGAAATAAATACATGTAAGTATTTAAGACAAGCATATTTCTACGTTTCCCCCAGAAGGCCAATTCAGGGGCCCCTTCCTGCTGACGCAGACAAGAGGCCCAGCACCTCAGCCCTTGTCCTCCGGAGCCTCACTGCCTAACAGCAGAACGGCTGCCTCTTACCTTGGGAAAGTAACAGCTGCCGGAGTCTGGAAGCCATGCTAACAGCAGTAAAACTCAGCATTTTTGCTGAGGAGCGCAAGCCTCTAAGAGGCATCCGGGAATTAAATCAGTGGCTGGCCCTAGAGTCAAGCCTAGCAGGGCCTGGCCAGGGAGGCCAAGGGACTTAGCGGGGCCGCCTCCTAGGAGGCGGAGGAAAGAGGGACTGGACCCAAACTGTCCTCCTTACTGAGATTCTTCCCACCACCCCATGTGCCCTTGGCAGTTTGTTGGAGCCGAGCAAGAGATGCGGGGCGCACATCAGCAGCAGTTTTAAGTCAATTGCCGCCACATTCCACCATGAGTTCCCCACCCACGACCAGTCCCCAAAGTGTAGGTCTCCCTCAGTACAGAAACACAGACACACACAGATGCACGCACACACACATACACAGACACACACACACACACACTCGCTGCCTCTCTGCCTTCTCCCAGTACCCTCCTAAGCCCAGGGGAGGGATGAGGAGGCACAATATAGGACAAGATTCTCTTGGGACTGCCCAAGCCTGGAATGGGGACGGGAATGAGGGATCTGTCTTAGGAAAGTGCCCCATCCATCTCCTACCATGTTTCCCAGAGCTGCCCCCAAATGAGATTTCCTCTGCGATTCTGTGCAGCTATGATGGATGAACAAGTCCCCGAGGGCCCTTTCTCCTGTCCCTTGAGGGGGATCCATGCAAACTTGCCCAGATCCTCCCCAGAGCCCCAGGAGCAGGAGGGGTTGCAATGCTGTTATGATTACAAACACAGAGGCAGGGCTGACTCTACCCGGACTCGCCAAGCCCCAGATGAGTCCACAGATGACTTCCCTCCTTTCGTCACCCACTACCCAGTGACTCCAAATTCCCACCAGAATCCTGGAATCTGCCCAGTGTGGGATTTAAAGTGACAGCGTCTCATTGCCTCAGGGTTTGGCCGCTTCTCTTTCATATTAAACGGTGAGTCCAAGCGCAGCAGATCTCCATCCTTTGGAGAAATCTTCCTTCAAGGGTACCAATACTGGGCTGAAGAAGGTGCCATCCCAGTCCCCAGAATCGTCGCCAAATCCCAAGCCCAGAGCCCCAGAGGGAGTCCACAGTGGGTTTCCCGATGGCTACGTGATCCTGAAACAAGCATCCCCTTCCCTGTGCGCTGGAGAGACCTAATTTAAAAAAGACAAGCGCGCACACACAAACACACACGTACAAACATGCACACACACATCGTGCCTTAAGTAGGTTATAGGACCTCTCTTCACCCCTCCCCTACACACACACACACACAAACACATACACACATCACAAACACACGCATCGAACGCAAACGAGGCCGCACACGCAAACACACACTAGCACCATATCAAGTTCTCACCATGGTACACACGTCGGGAGCGCGCTGGGAGCACACACGCCACTTACTGAGACCCGCATTTAACCCTCTGCGCCCCAGCACACGGAGACACCCCTCCCTCCTGGGAACCTGCGAGGACTTGCGGGCGGCGGGGCGGCCGAGGGAAGCGCCGAGGGTGCGGGGAGGGGGAGGGGCCGGGCGGGCGGGGGCGCCCCGCATGCGGTCCCGGGCGGTCTCCAAGGGCAGCGGGGCTGCCGGCGCGGCGCCCGGCGCTGCCTTACCTGGAGTCAATGTCCGTCTTTGGCGGAGAGCTGCGGGCGGACGCTTTTTATTCGGCTCGGAGGGAACTTGGGAGAGCCCTGCGTCCAGCTCGCATACCGGGAACGGCGCGGGGACTGCAGGCGTGGGGGTACCTGGCTCCTAGCAGCCTGGCTCATGCTCAGCCGTCAAGACCCCTTCGCTGGTCCCGCGGACAGGCATGAACCCCGGCTCCGGAAGGCGGTCACTACTGCCTCTGCCTCCCGGCGCCCCGGCGGTGGCTCGCAGTCTCCCTCTCTCGCCCGCTCGCTCGCCTGCGCTTGCCTCGTCCCTCCCTCCCCGCGCCAGATCAGTTCGCAGCCGCGGGGCCCGGGAGCGAGGCGGCTGGCGAATGGAGAGGGAAGTCCAAGTGCGCCGCGGTCTCCGGGCGGGGAGCCGCGGAGGCCGGGCTACGCGGGGGGAGGGACTTACCCGGCGACGGGCGAAAATGAATGGGGGAGCGGCTGCCGGGGGGCGGGCGGGGAGGAGCCAGGAGCCGGGGTTTATTCCGAAGTGTTTTGTGCATCTTTAGGCGGAGGAGGAGGAGAGGAGAGAGGACGGAGGAAGGGAGGCCTCCTCCTGGGAGGGAGGGGCGGCCTGGGTGGGCTGAGGCCAGAGCCCCCGGGAGAGTCGCGTGGGCCCGGGGCTGGGGTGGCGCGTCTCCGAGTCTGAGCACCCGGAGGGACTGTGTGTGGCGTGTATGCGCAGACCCCCGCATCGCGATGCTCTTCGGCGTGTCTGGAGCTGTGCGCGTCGCGAGTATCCGAGTGTTTCTGGGTATGCGGGTGCTTGTGTGTCGGTGCGTAACTATCCGAGTGTGGTTTTGTCTGGGGAGGTGCCCGTGCGGGTCCGTTTGTATCTAGTGCCTCTCTATGAGTACTTAAGACTGTTTGTTTTTCTGTATGTGTAGGCACGAGCCCGTGTAACCTCCCAGAATTAAGCGAGAGCTTCGCTACGTGGGCAGGACGTAGGAGTGAGACGCTGAGGAGACGCAAAGTTCTCTCGATACCACCAGAGACAGGAAAGGGGCGAGGATACGGGGGCTCAGGCATCGGTACACAGAACCAAAGACTCCCCATTCAGTCTGAGATGCCGGCTGAGGCTGCTGACCCGGGGGCCTCTTCCTAAAGGAGAAAGGAAGGCCGGAACACAATCTGAATTCTCCCACAGTGCATATTCTGTATGCTTGCTTCCTTTGCTTCCTTTTTAAAATTTTAAACCAAATCAGCAGTGAGGGCTCCTAAAGTCCCTAGAAGCCGAGGCAAGGGTCGTTATCGATGAAGGTACCAGATGAAGGGGCAAGGAACAATAACGAAAAATTGATGAGAAATTTAAAGGAACCCAGATTCAGTAAAAGCGCTGGCTCTAGACAAGTCAGAATCCTATAGCTATGTGATCTTGGCCAAATCACTTACCTCTTAAGTCATAATTCCTCATCTGTATAACAGGAAAATGTAACTACCTACTAACATGGTTGGTGTAATATTTAAATGAGTTAATATATCTAAGAAAATCTGGAATACTCCCTGGCACATACTGGGTGCTCCAAGCATGCTACCTTTAACTACAGTTGCTATTGATACTCATGTTATTGTTATCCAAAGGGTGATGAGAGAGAGATGTGATGATTAGACCTAAAAGATCTAGAGGCTAGTGCATTAATTAGCGGAAGAGGAGTCTTGAAACAAAACGGAAAGGACATTCTTGAGTGAGGAATTGAGGACTTGTGAAGAAAGTATTTAATTGGCGAGGTGGAAAGGGAACGAGATGAAAAGAGGGTGAGCCTGTGTCTGAGAAGTGCAGGACTGAGGAACGAAGGAGGAGAAGAGTGACCAGTAGCCAGTTCGAAGTCCCTCCTTCCTTCTCTCCGCTCCGAAGGCCGGGCAGTCAGCACCACGGACAGCTCTCCAGCCACTGACCAAGGGAGGGATTTTCTGGTTCTGCCTGGTAGAAACTTCTCCCATTTTCGCTTGGACAGTTCTCTGCTTCCCTCGGCTTTTGGCTCAGGTTCAGATCCTGGGCCGTGGTTCCTGAAACAGTCCTGTCTTTGATTCTGACCACAAAGAAATACACTCACTACACACACTGCCTCTCCCGTCCATGTCAGCATGCAGCCCCAGGTCACTATCCCCTGTTTCTCCTGCTGCTTGCTGCCGCTTCTGTTCTCTTCTGCCTCTCCGCTCCCCGCCCCCACCCCACCCCGTCCCCGGTGTCTTGTCCCTCTTCCTTTTTTTCTTCCCTTACTTTCTGCTACTCCACGATCTCCCAGCTCAAATATTCCACCTTAAGTCATATTAGGCTACAGCAGCCCTGCTGGGAATGCAGTTCTGAAATCAGTCTGAAACACCTAGTCCAAGGTACCAACTAATTCCTTTTAACTTTTCTGTCTTAATCAAACAAGATGGGCTGTGGTCCAGATGACTTAGGAAAAGGGGACTTAACGCTATGGAACATTATCCTATCACCCTCTCCTGCACCAAGCACAGTCAATATTTCCCTCAGGAAACATAGATCCCTTCCAAATTCCATTTACTGTTATAGAGAAAGAGAAAAAGGAGAAAGAAGTTTTGAACTTTTCCTGTGCATCGGGCATTTAATTTGGGTCATCCCTATATTATCTTTCACAATTTAAAAAAGGTTTTGAGGTATGAGATAGGTAACAACATACCAAGGTACAGGTAGTAGATGATGGAGTCAGGAATTCCACACCCAAATTGACTTTAAAATCTTTACTGGTCCTCTGGGAATAATGGGGAAGCTTCAGGGTGATTGAAAGAGCTTAGAATTTAATGGGGTCACCACATCCAACTCTAAATATCAACTTAAATGTATCAGACCACGGCATCCTCTGGGCCAATGGAGTATTTATCAGCTCTTGTACCTGGAAGAGGAGATGAAGGCTTTGCATGGACATATTTAAGACTCACTCAAGCCTCATGGTTTCTGAGTTTTGAATAAAACTTCAACCTTTGCAGGTCTTAGTTCATTTGCATTTGGCTCTGTTTAGCAGCTTTGTTTCTATGAAGAAAGGCTAAAGGGGGCATTTTTAAAAGCCTCCAAAGACTCTTTGGTCATCAGAAAAGTTCTCAGTGCAAAGCATTCCTAATGACTTATGGAGGAAGCAGTCAGAACCATATGGATAACATTTCTGCAGAAATACACACGGGTGGGAAAAGGTTTAGAGGCCAAAAATATATTTCTTTTTTTTTCTTCTTTGCCAAAGAAAGAACATTTAAGGCAGCTTGAGATATGTGAGAAATGTCTTGTTCTTTCTTTGGGGTGGGTGTTGGTGAGCAGCTGTTTGCTATTTCCACTGAATTTACCAAGGGCTTGTATGATGAGGGAGGTGCCAAAGGATTAGGATAGACTCAAGGAAGAACTTACTGTCTGTAGATCCTGGGTGATACTAGAAAGGGACGTTTTCCCAAGGACATTTAATGAGACAATGGGATGGTACCATTTTAGTCTTCAAAACATGATAGTTTGATAAGCACTGGATTATATTTTTAGAGTCATAGACCCCTTTGGGAACCTCACAACTTCTATGGATCCTCTCTCTTGTGAAAAATATATATATTTTAAGTACCTACAAAATTTTGCATGGGATTTTATAGACTCCCTCTCTGCGAGTCTCATTCATGGATGTCTATACCTGGACTCTGGCCTCAGGACATATACAGTAGATGACTTTTATGGTCTCCAGCCTGACCTTATATTTGAACTTAAGATATTGGAAAACAGAAGTCAACAAGAAAAACCAAAAGCTGGTCAAACTGACTTTTTTCCCCCTACAAATAGACAAGAAATACAGATAAATGTCCAAGGCTGAACTGAAAGTTTTACTTTCTCCTCCTTAAATAAAGATAAGAGTTGGCCTTATTTGTAAAGAAATTAAATGATGCTTTCTCCTTGGAAGAAAAACTATAACAAACCTAGACAACATGTTAAAAAGCAGAGATATCACTTTGCCAATGAAAGTCCATATAGTCAAATTTATGGTTTTTCCAGTAGTCACGTACAGATGTGAGAGTTGGACCATAAAGAAGGCTGAGCACCAAAGAATTGGTGCTTTCAAATCATGGTGCTGGAGAGTCCCTTGAATATCTAGGAGATCAAACCAGTCAATCCTGAAGGAAATCAACTTGAATATTCATTGGAAGGACTGATGCTGAAGTTCCAATAAATTGACCACCTGATGCGAAGAGCTGACTTAACTGGAAAAGTCCCTGATGCTGGGAAAGATTGAAGGCAAGAGGAGAAGGGGACGACAGAGGATTAGATGGCTGGATGGCATCACCAACTCAATGGACACAAGTTTGAGCAAACTCCAGGAGATGGTGAAGGACAGGGAAGCCTGGTATGCTGCAGTCCCTGGGGCTGCAAAGAGTCAGACACAACTAAGCGACTGAAAAGTGCAGGAATCTGAGCTACCTGCTGCTGCACTGAAAGTCTGAGCTTACTACTCCTATCAAATCTCAAAGGAGTTAAAATTCCTTAATCTGGAATGTTTTGTGTTTAGAATAGACCGAACAAAGGTAGAAAAATGTCCACATTAGTTGAGTGCCTACGGAATGTGAGATGATGTGAAAGAGTTAGAAATAAACAGCTTCGCTGGTCTCTCTTATAGGAAGCTGAAATCCACAGACAAGACAAACTTTTCTGTAAATGATCACAATGCACCACAGAATGTAGCTTTGGCACGCTCAAGGTCTACACGAGATGCTACAAGAGATAAGAGGAGGAAAAATTTGCTTCTATGAGATATAACCTTTGGCACTTACTGAATTTTTTGTTTTTTATGGGCTTCCCTCATAGCTCAGTTGGTAAAGAATCTGCCTGCAATGCAGGAGACCCAGGTTCAATTCCTGGGTCAGGAAGATCCCCTGGAAAAGGAAATGGCAGCTCACTCCAGTATTGCCTGGAAAATCCCACAGACAGGGGAGCCTGGTAGGCTACAGTCCATGGGGTTGCAAGAGTCAGACACCACTGAGCGACTAAACCACTGAATTCTCTTTATTTTATTTTAAAAGAAATTGAATAAAAACTAATATTTACTGAGCAATTAGTATGTATGAGCAACATTCAAGCCTTCCATGTCTTTCATCAAGGTTTTTATGAATATTTCCCTCATGGAATATAAATTAAAATTCATTTTCTCTCTTTCATTGCCCTTCCATTTCCATCCTTACCCTGTCCCAAACCTGCTGGAAGAGTATGCCTAAAACACAACTTTTAGCCAGCATTCTACTTATCCAGAGGCTGGAGGATGTGTAATTACATACCAAAATATAAAAATATCAAAATCAGAACTTTCCTGCCCAGCCTTCTAGCACCTGGCCTCTGTGTTCTTTACTCTCTTACTCAGATCTCATTGTCACCTGTGTACCTTCTCGGTTGGGCTTTCCTGGAGGCTCAGCAGTAAGGAATTCACCAGCCAATGCAGGAGACTCGGCTTCGATCCCTGGGTCGGGAAGATCCCCTGGAGAAGGAAATGGCAACACACTCTAGTATTCTTGCCTAGGAAATCCTATAGACAGAGGGGCCTGGCAGGCTAGAGTCCATGTGGTTGCAATGAGTCGGACACGGCTGAGTGACTAAAGAGCAACCTTCTCTGTGAACAAAAGTTAGTGCTCACTGGCTCCTGGCTTCCAGTGTCCCTCTCTCTGTGTCCCAATTAAGGGATCACAGGCTGGTCCTTCCACTGCCATGTCTTTTTCTCCCAGCAACCATTCACTTCCATGTAATCAAATCTGTGCTGTGCTTAGTCACTCAGTCCCGTCCCACTCTTTGCAAGCCCATGGACTGCAGCTCGCCAGGCTCCTCTGTCCGTGGGGATTCTCCAGGCAAGAATACTGGAGACGGTTGCCATGCCCTCCTCAGGGGATCTTCCCAATCCAGAGATCGAACCCAGGTCTCCCGCATTGCAGGTGGATTCTTCACCATCTGATCCAACAGGGAAGCCCAAGAATACTGGAGTGGGTAGCCCATCCCTTCTCCAGGGAATCTTCCTGACTCGGGAATCAAACCAGGCTCTCCTGCATTGCAGGCAGATTCTTTACCAGCTGAGCTACCAGGGAAGCCCAACCAAATCTGACTCCTCCTCAAATATTTAGTTCATATGCCA